CACAGGGGTTATTAATTTTTTTTTGCTTTTTGAAGGAAATTCCCATTTGTTCATAGGCTCTGACTTTTAAATGGCGTTTGATTTTGCTAATATAGGAGGCCTTACAGTCTCCACACGTGTAAAGATAGACAAGCCAAGAACAATAAGGAATGGAGAGGAGATCTTTAGTAGGGAAAACATTTTTTATGCGTGATGTGGATTTAAAAACTAATCTTAAATCCACGTGAGGGTAGTAACGACCAAGTATGCGTTTAAGTTGATTTTTTAAATTTAAGCTTTGTTTGCCAGTATAGGGAAGACACGAGTATATATTAAGTTTAGGTACAGTTGGTATCTTAATTGGATTTGTGAGTTTCTTTGTTAGGAAGGTGTTGGTAATGTTTTCTAATAAGTGTTGCGGATAGCAGTTGCGTTTCAGGATGTCATGTAAGAACGAAATTTCAGAGTGTAGATTAAGATATGTGGAGCACAGGTTGAAAGCTCTGCTTAGTAAGCATGTAACAATGTTTCGTTTATACGCACAACGACAGAAAAATCGCCCGAATTGAACATGTCCAAAAAAATCTTAAACAATGACCCTTTATCTGTTAGCATCAACGTGAGGAAAAAATCCAAAGATACATAAGTGAACTAAAGAACAAAATACTATATCTGAAAATGTTGCTTCTTCGCTTTATCCCATTGGCTTTCATCCTGGTATGTTATATGGCCTTCCCAAAATTCATAAAACAGGTTCTCCCCTCCGACCCATTCTTTCCACAATAGGTACACCTAGTTACAAACTTGCTAAATTCTTTTTACCTATACTTCAGCCACTCACTACTATGAATATACTATCCCGGATTCCTTCCACTTTGAAAGTGAACTAAGTCAACTACCCCCCTCAGATAATCTCTTCATGGCGAAACATTGTTACATGCTTATTAAACAGAGCTTACAACCTGTGCTCCACATATCTTAATCTACACTCTGAAATTTCGTTCTTACATGACATCCTGAAACGTAACTGCTACCCACAACACTTATTAGAAAACATTACCAACACCTTCCTAACAAAGAAACTCACAAATCCAATTAAGATACTAACTGTACCTAAACTTACTATATACTCGTGTCTTCCCTATACTGGCAAACAAAGCTTAAATTTAAAAAATCAACTTAAACGCATACTTGGTCGTTACTACCCTCACGTGGATTTAAGATTAGTTTTTAAATCCACATCACGCATAAAAAATGTTTTCCCTACTAAAAATCTCCTCCCCATTCCTTATTGTTCTTGGCTTGTCTAT